TAGGTAACTTCTGGCCCTAAAGTTACTCCTCAAATTATTTCTGAGGTTGCTACAAATCTGGAGACTAGGTTTGTTCATGTAGGAATTGTGGCAGGTGTTGAAACTACTGAGTCTGGAAAGGTTGGTAGTAAAAATAAAAAGAGAAAAAAAAAATAAAAGAGTGAGGGTGCTCAAAGTGTTGTGAGGGTTATAGGAAAAGGAGTGGTTGATTATTTACCCACTCATGTTGGTTTATGTAAATAATCATGTGCTATGGTAGTTTAGAGTGAGGAATCTGTTAGATAAGAAGAAAGTGTGAGAGAAACATGGGGAAGTTGGTCTGGAGAAGCTGCTGAAGGGTTGGTTCGATTAGGGAATGATGCTCAAGAACCTGTTCCATCTAAACAGAAAATGCTCGCAGACTTACTGAGAAACGTATCTGACAGCTACAATCCTAAAAGGAAAAGATGTTTAGGAGCCAAATTCCCTGGTACTGCTAGGGAAAATAAGAAAAGAAAAGGTGCTTCGTCTATTCCTATAGAGACTCCTCCTACAAGAGGAAGAGCTACAAGGAGTCAGAAGAAGGAGCATAGATTTGTCCCCGGTGATGGGGAGGATAGAAAGGTAGCAGGTTCATGGTGGGACTCACTTGAGGAGTTGGAGGGTGCATAGGGTAAGACCATTGCGGTGGGTGTGAACTGGAGGCTTGGTGATCTATTAAGAGAGGTGTTTGTGTTGTGTACCACTGAGTCTGAGCATATGCTTCCATTCCTAACCGCATCCCCTTGGTTGTTGATTTCTAGAGTGAAGATCAAAGTATAGTCCTGAAGATCCATCTCCAACCACGAGTGAAGTGGTTGGTCCATTGATTGGGGTTGAGATGTGTAAATTAGTGGTGTGGTCGGATGGGGGAGGTGTGGACCTTGTATGGTCAGACGTGGAAGATGGAAGAATTAGTTGTTGTTGTGAATGGTTTCCTTGAGGTAAGTGTTGTTGTTGTTTCCTGGAAATATGGGGCATTGCATGGTTAAAGGTGGAGGAGGAGATGTGAGCAGAAACAGTGATGGAATTGGATGGTGTATTTTCCGATGGAGTGATAGTAGTAGTAAGCGTGGTTGGAGTCGTTGATATGAGAGTAGAATGAAGGTTTTGTAGAGGAGAAGAGGGAGGGTTGGGATTTGCATGATGATCTTGACATGGTGTGGAATGATTGTGGTTTATTGAAAGTGAAGATTGAGTAGATTCTTACTGTAGCATGCAAGTACTGTTGCTAATGCTGAGTTATTTCGGAGGATTAGAGGGAGTGTGTAGGGCGGTGGTGGAGTTGTCAATTGATGATTGGCCATTGAGAATGACTGGGTTATTTGGTGGAGAGGGATTGTGACGTGGCTTTGTGGCGTGGCCAGCCTATTACTTGAAACTAGGCTTTGTTGAGCTAAGTAATTTTTGTCAGAGGTGGAGCAACTAGTGTTACCATTGGTGGATTTGGTTTGTGGGTTTGAGCATTGAAAAATCCCTTTTTGCACGTTAATTGTTGGGACCTAGTGTGTGGTATGGGCTCAGAAGCTGGGCAGTGAAGCGTTGGGCTCGTGGATACAAGGTCGATATTGGCCATGTTATGATCCATTTTTGGTAGAGCAGCGAATTTGTTAACAAGGTCATTATTGGGCCTTACCGGGGGAGGTGAATTAGATATTGGCAAGTGGGCCTATGTTGGCCCAGTAGGGTTAGAAGACTTACCTGTTGGAGCCTGCTGTGTGTTCGTTGCCGCCGCCATCTTGGTGTTACCTGTGGCACGGTTGGTGGTGCATGAGTGGGATTTCCTAGGAAAGGTGACAGTTTTCCATTCCGTTTTTTGTGAAAGTTGTGGTGTGGTTGTTGCAAAGGAAGAGGGCAGGGATTTCGTATCAAAAGTAGAAGGTGAGGGCTGTGTAACAAAGTTGCAATTTCAGGTAGCATGGACAAAACGGTCGCATTTGGTGCAAAGTAGGTTGAGGCCTTCATAAAGCAGTGTTTGCTTATGCTTATGGTGGCCTATATGTATATGAGTTTTCAGTAGTTTTTCTAGTGGGACCTCAATACAAATATGTGCGTACCTTCCCCTGGTAGTAGTCGAGGTGTAGGTATCTACTTTTAATAGTTATCCCAATTTAGAGCCTACACTTTGTAAGATTTCTAAATCGTAGAACTCATTAGGAAGTTCAGGTTGGTGCACCCACATAACTGAGTAGGTGAGTTGTGTATTGGAGGCAATAAACTTGGGCTCCCACTTGCGTACAGAGAGAGTGATTTAGTACAAACCAAGGGCCACCATAAAGAGCTTTATGTGTATTTTCTTATTTTTGGAATTTGATAAGGAAGAAGTCAGAACCTAGGTCAATTAGGGGAAGCTCTTCAGTAAGTTTCCATAATAATATGAGCTTATTTTTTAGGATCTGGTGTCCCATTTATTTGCCAAAAACTTTGATAATAACTGAAAATTTCCAGGTAGAGTAGAGACGGAATTTTCCATTTGTAGTTAATGGTATGAAAATGTCTTCATCCTTATCACTAGTGGTACTTTCGTCAGAAAGATCAATGGTAGTTTGGATAGAAAGTTGAGTATTTGGGATGGGTGAAAAGGATGTGTTTGAGATCAGAGTTTGAAGGAATGTTGCAGGTAGTGCAGTTGGGAAAGGGTCGTCAATTTGCGTGGTACCAATGTCAGGTGGTTCATTAGGATAGGTGTGTGAGACATGATGTGGAATAGATGCATTCATTGGAGAAATCGGTGAATTAAGACTGATTGTAGAGATGGGTTGGAATTAATGGAGAAGTGGGTTGGGAGCAAGAAACGTATTGGTTAGAGAGAGAAGTTCTCACATCTCTCCTTCAGAGGTTTTGTGATTTGGTTACCTCTGCAAGCAACCAATTCAATCCAATGAATTAGATTTTTATTAATCAAATAAAGCCAAATAGAAGAAATAAGAGTAGAAACAAGTAATAAAATGAGAGTAAGTAGAAATAAAATGATTCTTATCGAATGGTTCTTGATGAGATGAATATGTTAAAAAAGCTTCATGAACCAAGTCGAAGCAAGTACAAGAGCAAGTTTTTATGAATCACCGTATGTATAATTGTAAAGTGAAATAAAGATAATTACAGTAGTGGTAAAGTGTAAATTTTTATAGTACTAATTTCAAGTAACCATTTCTCATGAATCTTGCATTCGTTATGAGCATTTATTCAGTCCGTTCGTTATGTTTGGAACGTATTGCTGAATTTCGTAAGTGCTGATTGTTTTATTGGAAAGTGTTGATCTGTTGGTCTTTTTATCCGGAGACTAAAGGCTTTCTGGGCATTCGGTCATTTTCCCAGAGATACCTTATTCGAACATTTATAGACTTTTCAGTCCCTCAATCATTTTTCCCGAGACTCAGGGTAGTTACTTCCGCAATAACACCGTTTGATCCTGATTTAGACAACTTGGTATACTTCCTTCCGGTTTGACTTGGAGCTGACAAGACTATATTTGCCTCATGTTAGTCATTAATCTGTTCATATGTCAAAATCATTTTTTTACCAATACAGTCAGCCGTTTGTGTTCATTTGGTACAGCTGAGCTTTTATTCTTGTCTCTTTTGCTGAGAAAGCCCACCGCTTCTTCCTATAAACCTCTATTTTTAATCCTTGAACCCTTAAAAGAGAAAAAAATAACCATAAAACTTATGTTGAGCTTGAGCCATTAAGTAATTTAAATTGTTACAACTAATTAATTAAACATCAAAATGTAAGAGGCTACTCACAAATTTGAAGAATTGGAAAGAAATCAACAAGACTTGACAAGATTAAGGTAGAAGCATTCTTCACGTTACACTCTTATTCCTCTTTCTTTGGCACTTTTCGTTTATTAAAATTAAACTTAACCAATTTCTGGAAGCAAATTAAACTGAATAAGTGCACTTTAAAATTGAAAGTTAGGTTTAGAAATTATTTCCGGAAGCAAATAAAAATTATTTTTAAATTATTGCAATTTTTGCTCATACCAAAATGATAAAGAGTTCATTTTAAATATTATTAAAATTCACTTAATTTGACTTTTCTGATGAGTAACTGGCATTTTAGAATGCTGAGATAGATAAACAATGTTCATAAAAAAGAAGAAGAAAACTAGTTACAATTAATCAAAGTTCTTCTACGTCAAGAATCGGCTATCTGGTAAGGACACCTAACTACATCGTATACTTTTGGTCTTTTTGTTTCCATCTGTATGGCTATGACATTTCCTAGCATTGTCAAATTACTAATTCCTTGGTTATTGCTCTGTCTTTTTTCTTTTGAGTTAATTTTGCACAAACAGTGAAAAATAATATTTACACAACTAATACTTAATAATAATATAATTACATATAAATCTATATGATAAGCAATACTTCTAATAAAAATAATAACTTGCTAGCGTAGATTAAACTAGACAGATAATGTTAAATTATTTTAAACTACTAGAATAATCTATTAGGCTCTAATTTTCAAAGCAGTGACCATCTAACTTGCTTCAAGACAGCCTTGATCTTAATTAGGGATCTAAACAGATTTAATAAAGATATATTAAACGAGAACTACAAGTTGAAAGGTACTTACATGCATTTCAAAATCTAATTGTGTGTAATAATCTTACGTATGTCTGAAAATATATGATGCCTAATTTAAAAAGGAAAATTCTTTTCCATCTGGTTTTTAACGGATACTGCTGTGCATATTCATCAGGTATAGATAAATCTTTCATTTCAATAGTTATATGGAAGTCAACAAATATATTTTATCTTAGTTAACACATTAGTTACCTTCGAAAGATTTCCAAAGTCAGAACCCATACAAAGAAAAAAGAACTTGCAAGGTCACCTAAATACTCTGTTTGATATATAGTTAGTTAAGGTAGTTGAGCCTCAAAAGCACTTTGGACTTTCGTATTTTCTTCCCTCCATTTTCTTCTTACACCTCAATGTTGCATCTATAAAATTAACCCTTCTTAGCATTCTCTCACAAGTCACAACCAACATCAAGTTCTTCCACACTCCTCTCCCTCCTTACACTTTTTCCCTTCACATTACCGTTCTTTAAAATCTCATACAAACAACAACAACAACCCAGTAAAATCCCACAAGTGGGGTTTGCAAAAAGGGAAGAAAAAAACAGGAAATACATCTAATGGAAGGGTTCAAATTCTTGAATGATTTTGGTCGATTGGCACCGTTTTTGGCTATTGTTATAATGATTTTTAGCATCCAGGTTTCTGGGCAAATTAATACAGCCTGTAGCGCTGCAATGCTACGTAGCTTTAACCCTTGTATAAACTTCATGAGCAGTGGTGGTTCAGGTTCCCCAACTTCAGCTTGTTGTCAATCTCTCAAGGAACTTACGAGCAGTGGCAAAGATTGCCTCTGCCTGATTGTAACTGGAAATGTTCCTTTTAAAGTACCAAACAGAAATTGGGCAATTACCCTGCCCAAAGCTTGTAACAACGGTGGTGTTCCCATCGAATGCAAAGGTAATCAAACATTTTAACAAGATTTAGCTACCAAAACACGATACCACCCTCTCGAACTGTAGCTCCAGCACACGTTTCTTTAGGTGTTACGAGGGTTTGAGTGTCATTTGGTAGTCAAATTTGCAATATGTTGAAGTAAGATGCAAATTGAAACTAAAAATGACTTTTGAAGACTTGTTAGCTTTCTAGCATATGATCTGTTCTTTATCTTTGCCCCAATGTTGATCTATTGATTTGATGACTAATTCTGTTTTCCGTTTCTAATTGCAGGTTCTGCTACCCCTCTTCCAGCTCCAGGTACCAAACCAACTAATTTATCTTATCTTACACTTGTGTTTCCAGATAGTAGAGGGAAAAAATCAAATCAAATCAAATCTTTAATTACCAAAACTTTTGTTTTTATACTAAAAATTAGACTGGTGTGACAGGTCCAGCTGCCTTAGTACCATCAGGGTCTCCTAGATCATTTCGAAATCCTAGGTCACCTCCAGCTCCTAGCCCTGAAGGTAAAACTTTAACATTTCTCGCGAATTTATTGAACATGATTAATTCTATATAGTTTAATCTGGCTAATTTGGTTCACGTAAACGAATGGCAGGCGATGATGTCCCTGAGCCATTCAATCCTCCTTTGGGGCCAGTGGGTGATACAACACCAGACTTAACACCACCATCTCCACCAAATGGCTTTGGAACTCCTAATACTGGTTTAACGCCACCTTCTCCATCAGGCGGCAGCTTGGGAAATCCTTACAATGGTTTCACACCGCCATCTACAACAGACGGCGGGTTTGGAAATCCTGATACAAGTTCAGGATTCAAGCCTGATTTGACTCCTTCCTATTCCCCGCATTCACAGAGACTTTCAGTATTTGTACTTCTAGCAGCCTGTGGAGCAATTGCTTTGAAGTTATACTGAATTGATTCACCCCCCACTCCCTTCTGGCCTTTTAAGGTGTACTTGTAGTTTATGAACATTGTTTGGTGTGTGCATACATTGGATAACAGATTGCAATATATTATTTGTTGTTTCCTTGTAATCAAGTTGTACTGCAGTATAATGAAAATTTTGGGGTTATAGAAATCTATATTTTTCAACTTTTCAATTCCTTTTTTTGGCTAGTTGAGAAAGAAGTCATAATTACTTCCCTGCCCTGCTATCACTCGATTTTTATTGCTAATCAGTTGGTTTTCCCTACAACTTCAAGGTTACAAGGGACTCTTAAGGAACATTAACTCTTCATATTACATTAATGACCTTAGCAAAATTGGAAGGTTGTTAATACTCTAAATCAAGCAGAATTTGAGAAATTTGATTAGGGTTTTTAGAGGAAAGTTTCATAAACAAAAGAGAGAAGAGAGGTTCTCAAAGGAAAATGACCCGGTCTACCCTTTAACATTTGGGCCTCATTCTATTACATACTAAGGCGCGTCTTTACAAATGTGTAAATTGTTTTGGCTAAACTAACAAAATTGAATAACTATTACAAATGCTAAAGGGGTTTTGGCATGGTATGACAACTTACTAATATAATTAGCAGAAAAAAAGTCTTACTTATAAATATTGGCACCAGGTAGCCAAGAAATGTATATTACAACAAAAACGTGTATATCACAACTTTATTTTTGCTTCTTTGTGTATATCAAAATGTATATTAAAAATTTATTTTCATTCTTTGTTTATCTAAAATATAAATATAAATATAGTTGTTTAAAATTTATTATTGTCTCTTATCAATGTATATCACAATAAAAATATTTATACTATTTATATATTGCAATGTATAACACATCGAATATGTGTATACCAAAATAGATATCACAAGTTTATTTTCCTTCTTTGTGTATATCAAAAATTTATTTTTATTCTTTATATATCAAAATGTATATCAAAAAATTATTTACTCCTACAACTTGCTCTAAACATGTTATATCAAAAATTTATTTTCCTTCTTTGATCAAGAACAAAATGAAGTAAGTTTATTTAGAATGAATTTCGCCCTCTTAAAATTAAATTGGAGGATTTGATTTCGATTTAACCTTATAGTGCCAATTTTAATAATGTATATCACGATATATAATATAATATATACATGGTGATATATATAGATGTACACCATCTCAAAAACATATTTTTTTCCACAATTAAAAAAATATTGGAATATGCCTCTTGAAAAAGAAGGATAAGAAGAGGGAATGTCTCGGAGTAGAGTCTATTTCCATCTGTAATTTATGTCATAATAGCAGTATTAAGGTCATTGACTGAAAAACCACAATTAAGTTGTCTTGCAGTATTTTTTGAACTTAAGGATAAAGAAATTCTCTTCCATACAGGTTGTGTATTTCATTATTTAAAGATCTGATGGTATATTCAACAAGCTTTTCAATGGAATATATTTTTATAATTTGAATTGCTGAGTGATTTGTTTGAGAGAGATCAGTTGGTCGATGGTTTTTTTTTTGTGCGTCTACTAATGCTGTTTTTCATTTTACTTGATCCAGATTATAATGGTGTTGTACAACTTTAAGAAGATTATGGGGAGGGAAAAGAAGAAAAGATTAAAGAAGAAATATGGGGAAAGAGAAGAAGAGATACGTGGAGAGAGAATAATAAGGAACTAGGGTTTTTTAGGATTTGGCTATATAATGCCAATTTTTTGGGGTTGTCTTTGCCAAACGTAAAAGAAGGCTAAAAAATTACCAATTCTCTTCATGCGTTGTAATACCATGCCAGTACATGAATGCTAACTAATACAGAATAAATACTTAGCGTCATTCATGTTTTCTACTTTGGGCCTGAGGCTGAATATTCAGATAGCCCAACACCCCCTCCCCAAGTAGGAGGGAAATAACACCTTCAACCTGGACAGAAAAAATAGTGAAGAACTCCAGTCAAAGGCTTGGGAAAGATGTCAACAAGTTACCTGGAGGTGGAGACATGGAACAACAGAATCAAGCCTTCAATAGTTTTCTTCTGGATGAAATAGCAGTCCACCTCAATGTATTTGGTGCACTTATGGAAGACAGAGTTCTTTGCCATATGTATGGCACCCTGGTTATCACAAATAACAGAAACAGACTGAGGAACATCAATAGAGATATCAGCCAACAACCTAGTTATCCATGTGAGTTCATCTATAAGTCCGCTAAGGTCCCGGTACTCAACTTCGGTAGAGAAAAGTGAAACAACAGGTTACTTATTTGACTTATAATCCGCCAAACAAGTAACTGATTTTCTAGTATTTGGACAAGCTACCCAATCAGAACGAGCTGTGATAGTGCAATTATGTGAAGCAGAGCAAACAGACCAACATCAATTGTACACTTTAAATATCTTAACATGTGCAAAGCAACAGACATATGAGGTAAACGAGGGGCTTGCAAGAATTGGTTCAAGTGTTGCACCCCAAAACAGATATTAGGTCTATTATGGGTTAGAAATAAACTTTCACCAAATCAGACTCCTATACTTCTTAGGATGTGGAAACAAGTTCCCCGAGTCAGCTTTCAACTTAGTATTTAAATCTAACGGACTAATAACAAAAGATAATCACAAACTTCATTTGATTCAACAAAGCTCCACCGGAAGAAGTGAAGACCTCAATCCCAAGAAAATAGCACAAAATTCCCAAATCATTGATCTTAAACTCATCATCTAAGAATTATTTCAAAGCTAAAATTTTATCAAGATTGTTACTAGTTAATATTATATCATCACATAATTCTTTAACAAATAGAGAGCACTAACTTTGGGAATGAGTTTATTCTCTTAAACAGAAAGCTTGAGAAAACTTTGCATAATTTTGTCTGTAGGCTTGTTTCAAATCATAGATGAATTTCTTTAGTTTGCACACTAGAGGGGCAATAAGATAAGAAGAAGAAACTGAGAGGTCTAGAGGCAATTTCATATATACCTTCTCATTTAAATCACCATGAAGTAAAGTATCATTCACATCAAGTTAAAATAAAGACTAACCTTTCTTAACAATAAATAGCTATAATATATTTTATAATAGATAATTTTACCATAGGGGAAAAGGTTTCAATGAAATCTACCCCATCCAACCTGGATGTCAGCCCTAATGACAATCCTTGCTTTTTACCTCTCTATATTACCATCAACCTTATACTTAATTTTATAGATCCATTAGAATCTAGTAAGCTTTATCTCTTTAGGTAATGTAACGATGTCCTAAGTGTTGTTGGCTTCTAAAGCCTCAAAATCCTTCCTCATGGCTTCTTGCCAAGCTGAAATTGGAACTGCTTGAGCATAAGTATGTGGTGTAAATCATGAGTGCTAAACATGAGAATAGAAAAATAAAGCAGAAAGTTGATAGTGATAATCCTGCAAATAGGAAGGAGGATTATGAGGTCTATCAGATCTCCTTAAAGGCGGAGGATCATAAGAAGTAGAAGGAGTAGAAGACAAAATAAAGAGGAGCAAAAGAATTATCAGGTCTAGAAGGAGGATCTAAAGAATCAGAACCATGTGAAGAAACATGGAGAGTCGATGGAGAACCATCAGGTGCAGAAGTAGGTGAAGATACATTAGGTGTAGAAGGAAATGTATCAGGTTCATGAGAAAATGAAGGAGTTAACAATGAGGACTTAGAAACATGAGCTACATGTGAACCAAAAGATTCAGCAAAAACAATTGATGCTCATGCAAAACAACATCTATGGAGATAAAATATTTATTCATTTTCAGATTGTACAACTTATAACCCTTCTTAGAAAAGGGATAACCAAAAAAGACACACATCATAGCCATGGGTTGCAACTAGTCCCTCTATGTAATGGGATAGTTGCATAGCAAAGGTAGCCAAAAGTCCTCAAATAAGAATAACTAGGTTCCTTCCCATACAACATTTTAAGGGAGATTTATTATTTAGTAATTTAGAAGATAGTCTATTTCTGAGAAAAGTGGCTGTCAGGAGATAATACCCCTAGAATCTGAGTGCTACTTTGAACTGAAAAGTAATAATGCTTCAAATAAAGTTTTGTATATATTGTTTCTAAATAATTTTGTTATGGTGAGTGGGAGAAGGTAATTTGATGAACAATTTCATGGTCACAGAAAAAAAAAATATTGAATGACTGGAACCCAATTCTAAGGCATTATTACTTGACTCAGAAAGTGACATTGAACAATGTTTTTACCATCAAAACAAAGGCTTTTAGTAAGAAATAAATATCACTTTTAGAACCCATTATATGAGTCCAAGTAGATCTATTGAATTCATCAACAATTGTTAAAAATATCTTGAACAAGAATATGTGGGTGCGTGGTAAGATCCGCAAGTGTCAATATGAATAAGTTGAAAAGGTTTAGTACTGTGGATACTACTATCAGGAAAGAACAATCCAATTTATCTAGCCACATGACACACATTAGAAGAAAAGCACTATTTAGCAGAAATAGCAGGAATACCTTTCATTCTTGTAGAAAGAATGTGAGGCATTCTTTAATGTCAAACAATATACATATCATGCAATGCAACTTTATTACAAGTAGGAATAGAACTATTTATAAGTGAAGTACTAAAAATATAAGTACGAGAAGAAGGTGAGTTGCAAGAAGTAAAGTTGCCAGTCAGAAAGTTCTAGGGAAGAGATGATACCGCCCACTGAGACTTGTAGAGTCTATTGCTTACTCTACGAAGCATCAAAGCCTTTTTTAGAAAAGGGTCTGGATAAAATATCAACACCAGTAAAAATTATACAATAAAACTATTGTATTTGTCTATATACCTAAATTATATTTGTGGTAGAAAGATGGGACATAAAGCATGTAATGACCTGACCGGCCGTTTTGAGCTTTAGCTTTCCATTCGATGGTTTAATACCTTGAGTAGCTTCATATTGTATATTATGACTTTTTTGAATCGTCGGTTTTGATTTTAAGGTGATTCAGAGTTGATTTGGAAGAATGATTCTCAAGTAGGAAGCTTAAAGACGGAAGAGTTGACCAAGTTTGACTTTATGTATTTGACCCTGGACCGGAGTTTTGATGGTTCTGTTAGGTCCGGATGGTGATTTTAGACTTGGGCATATGCCCGGATTTACATTTGGATATTACTCGAAGGTTTCGGCACTA